TTTTTCGGTTCGAACGCAAACCGAACGCAATGAAAATTACAGCTAGGCAAAAAAAAACATAGTTGATACTGGTAGTTACATCTCCAATGCAGCCGCATGCCCCTCAGCCTCTACTGCTGCAGAAAGGTGCCCATTCCTATATGCTCCCCTCAACAATTGTAACGCCGTGAATGTGGAAGTCACGAGTGCATTGCGTCGCACAGTAGAAATGATACCTCCGCTTGAGAATGCCTGTTCGGAGGGAACAGAACTGCCTTGAATGGGTAGGTAGTCTCACGCGATGCGTGCAAGTGTAGGGTATTGCAGCGAGTGAAGCTAATAAATAGATTTAGTAGCGAAGAAATGCATCAAAAAGATCACTTACCCCCCACCAGGCAACAATATCATCTGTCTCCTCGAGTGGCGCAGACAAGTATAAGTTGAGCTCTTGTCGAGGATTGTGAGTAAGATGGTCGGTCGTTTGATGCGCCTTAATAGCCTCGCGCATCCAATCATCACCGTAGTCCTTGCGTACAGGTTTTGTTGGCAGAGCAGATTGCTCTCTGGTAGGCGTCTGACTCGGCGGTTTATAATAGGCATCAAACACAGCCTCCAGGCGATCCCTGCCATCTGCAACGTCTTGAGCATCCCAACGACCTTCAACATATGCAAGCTTATAGTTTGGATCAAGAACTTAAATTATATTAGATACAATCATGAATAATATAAAAAGCGATAGTACTCACCAAGACAGATGAAATACACATCCGATTGACTTGTTTTCTTGAAGTACTTGTCGACATTCTTGAGTCCTTGCTTAATCGCATCGGCAATCGGCGCATACTGCGGATCATCTGCCATGGATCTCCATCGTTCAGCAAGGCACTCTAGTGTAGGGATCGTTTTCCATGCGGTTGGATGTTTTGCTGACGAGAACGATTGCTGAGCCATTGCTGGTTCCTTGAGGACTCGATGAACGAGTGCAAGGTGTTTCCAATCGCTATGATCGAGCTTAAAGTTGTCGTAAGACTTGTTGCGAAGAGTCGGGACTTCTTTGCTTTCATCGGCGAGGTTTGTGAAACGGTTTACGGCCTATTTAATTATATACATGAGACCACTTTTAAACATTGAAAGAAAAAAACTCACTCGACGCAAGAGCAACATGCGGTCTAGGCATTTATATAGCGAAGCCCAGCGAGTCCTGATCCACTGCAACAACTCAAGTTCAGGTACGTTCTCTTCTTTGCAGGTGTCACGAGTTCCAAATACAAACCATTATTCTTTCTTAAACACTCGTAAAACACCCGTTAAGCGCCCGTCACAAGCGCCTGTCGTCAGCGCTCAGTCAGCGTCTGTACCCATAACCTTCACAAACCCTAACCCAAACACATCCTTTACATATCCGAACTTCTCTATTCCATTAGCACCCACTACCTCTATCTCCGACATTCCCGATTACGACTTCCTTTCACAAGCGATCAAGTCACGTGACTCTAGAACCTTCGAGAACCCTTGCACAGCCATCACACGTTCCATGACATCATAGTGTAGTTATATTTAGATCATCGTACGATTCTCTTTTCTATTTAATGATTGGTTAGTTAGTTCAGATTCAGATTCAATCTCCGTTTCAATTATGTATATAGGTAGCTCATTGTAGTCAGTAGTTCTCCAGTTCAAACCTCTTTTGTATTAGCTTACTGCTAGCAATCCTAAGACGTCCCTGCTATCCTTTTCTCTTTGTCGTGATACCTTTGTTTGAGTCCTAGTCTCTGCCCCTGCGTTAATTCGTTATAAGGGTTGTGACAGCAGGCCTTTCGGAAAAATGCGCGAGCTTGAGGGGACTTTCGGATCTGAGGTTCTCGATCAGCAAATAGAATAGTCTAATAACAATAGCATGTACCTGCTCGATGAGGGCAAGAGCTTTGCCAAGCGAATCCCCAGTATCGAATAAGCTATCGTTGTCGTCAGTCTTATCATTAACGCCCATGGAAGAAAGCTCATTAGTTAAGGTATCAACTTGAGCATCATCGCCACCATCAAGCGCCTGACGAATCTTCTTCATCAAGGCAGCTTGAGGAGTGGGCACAACTCCGTCAACGAAGTGTCGTGCAGCCAAGTTTAGTATATGTTCCTGGCACCTGATGCGGCGTGTGTCAGGTGCCCACCGAGTACCCTCTGGATCGATTTCATGTCCAACTGCTTTCATGGCGGTATCATTATTGGTGGTGTTATCGGAGGTCATCCATCCAACCTGCAACATGCTTATTAAATTCAGTACATAGTAGCAGCCCAAACCTTACCTTATCTCGCAGATTGTATGTGTCGATGGTATCAGTAATCAAGCGCGCAGTATTCTGGCCACTATGATTGCCTTGGATGTGTTCAAAACTTAGTTGCTCACGGCGCAACTCCCATTGCTGGGGTTTGTCATCTGGGCTCCAGATGTAATGACCTGTGACGCAGAAGAAAGGGTCACCAATGATTGAAGTCCAGGAGTCAAAAGTCATGGAGACTTGACTGTCCACCTTTGCGAGACGTTTGCGAATAACATCAACGACGGCTACTGCACGGGCTTTGATGGTCTCCGTAAGCTTGGTGCGGTGAAGGATATCACTTTCAGCAAGGGCAGGACGGACATAACGGAGCAAGTTGCGGAAGGCTGGTTTGTCGACAAGTTGCAATGCCTCATCCTTGGTAACGATAAGCTCCACAATATAGTCAAGAAGCCCTGCCTTTGTAAACATAGGTGCTTTAGGGACAAGGACATTGTCAAGGGTGGATTGTCTTGAACTATCCATGCATCAGCAAAACACGAATCACAATACACCAAGCACAACTCACAGGCATTTAGCCTCATCAGTTGGAACCACTCGAGGGTGCATGGTGATGCCCGCAGCTTCACAGCGCGTTTTGTACACTTGAAAGTGGTTTTATTCCTGATAGATATTAATAAATATTCAAGAGACAGAAGACGCAAACATACCGACAGATATGCGTGCGGAGCGTGGATATATTTCCCCGAAAGGTGTACTTGCTTTCGGGTTCACCAGAATCCCTAACAAACATTAGCGCTTTAAGTAACCACACATGTAGTCCTAAATACGTACTTGCAAGGTTTGCATATCCATTTATTTTCATCACGAGTAAAGACGGTGCGAACATCAGCAGCACGCTCACTCTTTGACAAAGTGGCGCAGGTGATTTCAGGGGTCGGTCCATCGGGTCCATCATCATCTTCAGATCCATCATCATCTTCAGGCACGTCTTCATCTTCAGGTGCGTCTTTATCCTCAGCACCAGGATCAGTATCGTTATCCGTATCGGCACCAGTCGCATGAGAGCCATCATCATCAGATAATGGGGCTGAGAGCTGCAACGCTACCTTTTTCTTGACTAGATGCTCAGTCGCACTAGAAGATAACGCGCGTTTGCGGGTTGAGGATGCTGGGTGAGAAGAAGCATTGTCGGCATCACGGAGGCGAGCAGAGGGCTTAGAGGTGCAAATCAAGCGTCGAGCACCTGCAGTAAGTGGCGCTGGTTTGCGCCCAGCCTTCAGTAACACGGAGAATGTGTCTGAGCCTGCGGGAGTAGTAGATGATGTTGGCTGGGCTGCCTGAGCAGAGGCTGGAGGGCAAAGTGGGACAGTATCGTCGGGATCATTGTAAAAAATAATATCCTGGGCATCCTTAAGAGAACCATCAGCATTAAGGGCACATGCGTCAGATTGAGACATTGTATGAGTGAAGATATCACTCACCTGGCGGGGCTTGCTCCTTTTATATGTGAACCAAGCAAAAAACTGATCTCCAAAGCCATACACATTGGAGGATCCTACAATATATCAATACAATATATCAATCAGTGTATTAAGTATATTGGGCTTGATTTGACACTTAGTTCGTACCTTGAGCTTTATTGGACAGCAGGGGGTGTGGGATGCGAGCCTCCGGAGAGATTTCAAAGTCAATGCAAATCCTGAGGATCCCAGCCATCAAAGTGACCATGGGGGCAGACATCGAAGTGACCAAGTGTGTGCCTCGCCGATGTCGCAAGGAAGCTTCGATCAAATCGGTTCGGGGTTCGGAACGGTTCGGGAAGGTCCGAACCTATATTGGAACCGTTCGGGAAACAGTGGACCGCGAACCTCATTCCGGTTAGGTCCGGCCAATATTTGGAACCGTGGACCGAACCATGGACGAACCTGACCAATGGTCCGGTTCGAACCGTGGTTCGGAACCGGACCACGGCAGCACTATCCCACACTGTCATTACCAAAATTGATTGTCAATTGATGCCTGTCCTTTACACCTGCGAGATCAAAGCATAGAGTATGTATATAGATAAAGACATTGCTCAGCCTCACCTTTTTGCGGAGACATGGAAACTACTAAGAGTGTGAATAACTCTGGAACGAGTGCTAAGTTGAGCGCGGCTGAAGCGCTGATGGTCCGTCCCGGGATGCTGATCATCTTTGTGGCGGACCACCCAACCGGGTGAGTAAAAACTGCAGTGGTATAACAAAAACCTGTTCGAGGGCGCAAATCCACCATATGTAAGCGGCTTCTCAAGGCCGCTCCTGTGGAAATGGTCACATCAGTATCGGTAAATTTTCCCCACAGAGATAAGTACGGCGCATGGTCAATCGATCGCTCACTATCCACATGCGGTGGTGCCACACCTCTGTACGTAGCTGTCTCAGGTCTGGAGCAGGGATTCCTGACAGGGAGTATACTAAAAATGAGGAATTGGATGGCCAAGGGGAGTTGAGGCAGGGAAGCGGCTATCTCAGGGAAGGCACGAGCAGCTCATAGTTAACTTGAGAAACCGTTTTCTCGCAAATGCAAGGATCTCTACCCATTCTATGTTCAAACCATTGGTCCAGGCAAAATCACATTGGTGCTGTGTTTTCACCAATTGCTCCTGTCGCATCCACGTCATCACAGCAATTTCTGTCTGCGCATCTTGCGGTTTATATCACTCTAGCAACTCGCAATACATATTTTAGATTACATGATATGGTCACTTCACTTTGTACATAGGTATACCTTCCTTACTGTCTAGTGCCGAACGGACTTGGAAATCAGCGATACCACTTTTCGCGATATTTGTGTGACTGGACGAAATGTCACGAACTGGTGGTAACTAATAGTATCAAACCAAACCACGTATCCTATCGTAACAACTGTCGCCGAGAGAGACTATCGGTTGGACCCCTCAACTCTTCCGTTTCGTCGGATATTGACTTTGCAAAACAAATGTCAATCATGCCTACGCGGCGCAGGTCGTCCTCCATCGGATGCTCCACATCATCCAGGACTTCATTGACAGGGGCTGAATGACAACCCAGCCACAAGAGTTGTAGTGCACCTGTATTTGCGATGACAACTTGACTGTCGCTGGGTGCATCAAATGCTCTTGTCATGTGTAGAGCCAATGTTATCATGATCACCGATGCAGATATCGCAAACATCAGCTAGAGTGGCTCATCGATAAACTGCCATAGTGTAGATATCGTCATGAGCTCACAGGAAGAAGGTTGATCTATGACATGGATCAGCAGTGGAGAGAAGTTCAGTACAGTTCACACTGACATTGAGACGCAGGGAAATAATCTGCTCATCAATATAGGCCGCCGACCCCCCGTAATCATATTCTTCACATCCTCCATTAGATAGGCCAACTTGCCCCGCTGAGTATGTGATACAGTGAGCAAGATGCTTGCGAAAGTCACAGTCTCGTATGACCACATACCTGTCCAAACGAGTTGTGCAGCCACCTGCGCAATGGCAGCCTCTAGCTTATCTGGGCTCAATGTGAAGTTGGACACGGGATCAACCCCCTGGGACTCTTGCATATAGGACTCGACCTCAAGATTTAAGCCTAACAATGACATGATATACCTATAAATCAAATCTTCAGTGAGGAATTGTAGCATGGCAGCGAAGGGAAGGTTCTAACGCATCCGCAATTGAGGGCTGGCTAGTGGAATTTCCAGCAAAACTGTAAAATGAGTACCCGTCACTGACATTGGAAGCCAAAACGGAAGCAATCTTGTATCGACAGTGGATCATTGAACTTTTGTAGCCTCTCGAGATAAGCATAAACACACCGTTGATTGCCAGCTATTAGACGTCCACTGCGACCACTGCGTAATTTCCCACTGCATTGATGGTTGCGAGTCCGACACGGACAAAGGATTGTCCAGAATGTTGGTTTGCATGTCAAGCACAGCACCGGCGGTCACAGCCGAAAGTGAGCATTGCACAAAATAGACTTCAACGACATATGGAACACCTGAAGGGTACGCTGCAGAATATTTGGTAACATGGCGAATTTATAAAAAAACAAAACAGAGCTGACTCACTTTGATTACGCATTTCCCAGGTTACTGGCACGGCAACCTCTTGTTGTACAGAAGGCTCAATGTCTAATAATGTAGAAACCATAAGGACAACACCAGGGGGAGTATCCGGGCCGCTGACCTGTAAAACAACTGTCAGTCAGATTCCATAGCACCCACGAATTATCTTGGAGAAGTTTTACATTGCCATCTGACGTCTGGTAGGGTGAAAGCACTTGTACTTGGTCTGACCCTGTAAATATCCCTAAATAACGATGAAACATCGTTTGGAACTATGATGACGCACAGGGGTAGCTTGCGCTCATAGAAAGATAAGTTCCATATCCGATCGAAGAATTTACCTGTACCGTGCCAGCATTCACCGAGTGTGTGATATTTGGAAGCAATCCACAACGCGAGCTTATCGTCGTTGCATTCACAGCTGCGGATCCTGTCGTAGAGTTTGTTTGTGGAACGTCGTAGACTGTATTGTTGGACCACCCTGCAGAAACCAGTCCAGGCAATTGACTGACAACTGGTAAGGATGCGACGATGGGTGCCCAGTTCGCAACAACGGTATTCAAACTCGCCCAATCAGTTGGCCATGCTTGCGTTGTTAGCACAGGGGTCTTCGTGGAAGTATTGAACGTTTGGAATTGTAGCAGAGTGGAGGAGGTAATGTGTAGCACGGAAATGCTTGCAAGGTAGGCAGTCACAGCAGAAACAGCCCACCATGAAGCAGGGATCTTGATTTGTCGCCAGATACTACTGAGTGCAGAGCCGAGGCCAGCCCATGCACCAGAGATATCATGAATGACAGTCAATTTCTGACGGCGTGCTAGCATTCTTGACATCGCAACCCGTTGGGTGAGGAAGAGTAGAACGGCCGTGTAAATCTAGATGGAGCCTTGTGATTGGTATACCTATCAGCTAAAGGGGGTCACGTACCGTGTAAAATGCCTGCAATGAAACACTCAGTACCACAGACTAAAAATTGTCGTTCATTGTTGTGAATGGGAGGATCACACGATGTTCCCACTGAAAGATATAAGACATAACAAGGACGACGTGTATCACGATCAGTATGGCATGCAGCATGTAACATGTGCCAGCAGGGGATGATCCATCGAATGCATTTCCTAGTTTTTTCAAGTGAGACTTCCAGGACACTGGGGGAGGAGATGTAGCTGTTGGCATGTAACACCGATTAACGTGATAATAACATACCGGACCAAGTCCTTGGCGACTGAATAGCAGGATATTTGTCGTTTGTGGCTGACATGAACCACTTGTTGAAGAGATCCAGTAACGTTACCAGGGAGGAAGACACAAGAAGTGGTACAGTACTATTAGTAGTATGAATGAACAGGTCGACGTTTATATATCTAAAAAGAACGTGTCTGGCATCACATTTTTACAGAGATGTGGGAACTGCTGATCGGGAGAAAAAAATTGGCAGTGAGAACGATCGAGTACTATGTCAAGGGCGGCCGACGGACTGATCATCTTCATGGTGGACTACCCACTGCATCGGGAGAGCAACGTGAGGCTGGTATATATAGCAATGACCAACAGTGACGCACAAATGCAACCATGATGCACAGCATGGAAAAGCGAGAGTGAACTTATTTGAGTACTTGAGTTCAAACCCTTTAGTCAGAGGTCGCGGGAGTGAATCCTGTAAAAAAACAACCAGGGAGGTTGTAGCTGATATGAACCGGGACCTAGCGAGAGCAAGTACGGTACTAGTCTATGAATGAACAATCGGCTTCTATTATATATATAAAGACATTGCTCAGCCTCACCTTTTTACGGAGATATGAGAACTACTGATTGTGCAAATAACACGGGCTGGTGGGAATGAGTGCCAAGTCGAGCGCTGCTGATGGGTCTTGAATTCCGACGCTGATGATATTTGTGGCGGACCACGCAACCGAGTGAGTCAAGGCTGCGCTGGTATAACAAAAACCTGTTTGAGGGTACGAATGCACCATATGCGAGTGGCTGCCAGCGGCTAGCAACATTTAACAACATGCTTGTTTTTGGATTCACCGTCAGGATGGCTGCTCAAGCGCTCAAGGCCGCTCTTGTGCAAATCAGTATCGGCAAAATTAACCCACGGAGATAATTATAGCGCATGGTCAATCGCTCACTAGTACTATCCACGTGCAGTGAGTGTACGGTGCGGTGGTGCCACAAACCTCACCTTCGAACATATATAGTTGTTGTCTGGAGTTGTCTCCACTCAAACCCAATGAACAGACGCACATGACGTCATTCTCTCCAGCGGCCTCGATATGCATATACTGTAAGACAAAGCTGAACTCCTCAACAATCGCCGCCCAATCACAACCAACCCCGTAATCGAGATCTGTACATTAGTCAATAGTCAACATGTCCAGCTCACAAAACAATACCAACAACGTCGCATTGAACACTTCTAGCCCGCAGCATCAACTTAACGACCCTTCCCAGTCACTACGTTCCGGATCGCGTGCCACTGTACAGACTCAGGTCTCCTTGCCCGCGAATATCGAACGTGTGTTCTCCTCTGCGATTCATAGCAAGAATACCTCTGCGCAGTCGGATGATGCATACCCCACTCGTGCTACCTTAGGCACGTCATCTGCCGGGCAGACTCGCATGAGAGCTTGAGCTCATGGTAACACTGCCCTCACCAGCGAGCGCCAACTCGGCGTTCAACCTACGCCAGAAGGTGTTAGCCATTTGATAGCCAGCCACTGACACATACAGTATTACAGATGGAATCGCAATTGATGGGCAGCCCAACCCGCCCGAGGGCCATGCTGGGTTCGGTGACGGAAAAACGCAAAAGGCAAGTCTTGTGCTATAGACAATTAGTCTAAGCTTATTTCCTTTATAGGTCATCAGCGAGCATACTAAAAACTTTGAGGAATTAGATGACTATGGGGAGTTGAGGCAGGGAAGCGGCTGCCTTAGGGAACGCACGAGTAGCTCATAGTTGAGGAACGGTGATCATTGCATGACGAGTAGACTAGCTGGACATTATCCTGGATATGTAGTACGATCGAGTTGTAGCATAACAGAATCGCAACTCTTGTGTAAGGATTATGCCGTGACAGTAACTAGGGGATAAATAAAGGCACTGACACTAGTTGGTCAACTGTCCATCAAACAGCTCGAACGACCCGTCTCATACATGCATTTGATACAAAAACTATAGATGCAAGTAACAACAGCCAGAAGTAAAATAAAGTTAGTACAGCTGATCGCTGTGCTCACGACATGAATAGATAAAGTCAACACCTGCTGCAAAATTCCAACAGCCACTACTGCTGTTGTCCCTCGAGCTTCTTCTTGCCTGAAGCAGCTGTCAAGCTCTTGTGGATAAATGGCAATACACCTCCTCCAGCGATTGTTGCGCGAACAAGGATATCGAGTTCTTCATCTCCTCGTATAGCAAGTTGCAAATGCCGGGGTGTTATACGTTTGACGCGCAAGTCCTTGGATGCATTTCCTGACAACGGGTGTAAGAACGAGCGTCTTCAATCCGGATTGACCTACTCACCAGCAAGTTCAAGCACCTCAGCAGTGAGATACTCCAATATTGCACTGGTATAAACAGCAGCCTTCGCTCCAATACGCACATTGTGCTGCGTGCGCTGTTTCAGGTAACGATGGATACGACCGACGGGAAACTACAAGGGGGGTAAAGAAAAAGGGGCTATATCAGGAAAACTGATCAATGGAAGATACACTCAAGACGGACCTGAAGGCCAGCTTTCTGACTACGAGTCTGTATCGTTCTTGGTGTCGTGGTCGTACCGGATCCTGCAACCCCTCCTGCTGCTTGAGTGGGCGCGCCAGACTTAGACTTCCCTCCGGTAGATTTGGGTGCCATGTGTGATAGTGTGCAATGTTTTACTCTAGAAAGGTCTTGTATGCGCTACGGGCAGTCAACCAAGATTACGGCAGGGTTGCAACGAAAGATGGAGAACTTACAAGAAAGTAGAATGATGTACAAACACGTTGGTGTAGCACGAAGAGTTTGAGGGGTGTGATCACTCAGACTATTTGGCGTGAAAAACAAGCAAGCAGTGACCAGCGAATGTGAGAAATGCAGTCAACAAGGACGCGAAGGGTGTTATGATGGCAGTAAGAGGCAGAGTCGCGTCTTTGTTTAGGGTCGGCAATTCGGTGTTGTTGAGAATTCTAATTTTGGCCTTATTTGTGACGCGTGTAGTCACGTGACGTGAGCCCACGATGAGGGACTGACTGAAAGTTGGCATAGCCTTAAGCAACTTGGGACTGGAATCTGCGTAGTGGCTTGGTGACTTTGCAGTATATCCAGGTAGGAATTAACATCTAGCAGGTATGATCGCTAATCTGTATCATCTATCTAGTTCGATAAGAATCTCGTGATGAGCTCGAGCACTCCATACTTGGACGCATTGTCGAAACACTTTCCAGCGGAATGCTCGTCCATCATAGATTCCCTGAGTTCCGAGCATACCCGCTCTACTGTGGACACGCTATTTGCATTTGCGTTTGGCGGTGATTGTCCCACAGACATGTCGGCCCTCGGCCAACTTAGGGTGGGCACGAGATCAACCTGCCGCCATGAGGGCGATTCAAGACCTGGCTGTACAGAAAGGCACAAAACGCGGGCGAGCAGCCAGCACTGATGAAGAAGGCGTCGGTTCAAACTCCTAAGCGCCCAAAAACTACGGATGTAGACGACCGGCCCATTTTTACACTCCCTTCGATATCCACGACCTCGCCTGTTCGCAAAAAAGTTGACATCACGATTCACGAAAAAACGATACGCTTTATAAATCCTTCATCTCGTGTGGTTGAGGCATCAATCCCAATTTCTAATATTTCACGAACATTCCTGGTACCAACGCGCGGAAAAGCAAAGCAGCATTGGACAGTCGTCATGCTATCCAACGATGTACCTGGAAAGGGTAGGGCCACAACTTCTAACCCACACCAAATAATATTTGGACTTGACGCTATAAGCGCCTCTAAATTCGACACTACCTTCCTACTCCGGCTCCTCCACTCCATCCACGTCAACAGTTGCGAAAGGAGAAGAGACTCTCGCCGTCCTACACGAGTTTTTGGCACATCCTCCCTATTTCTCTTCTCGAGGCCTCGGCAACTGTATTCCGTAGCGCGTGTGCCACTTCTAAATCAGGACATTGCGCCGCCGGTATTGATGCCTATTTTGCCGCCAAACCTGGAACTCTATGGTTTTTCGATTCAGGAATTCTCTGGGGAGAGAGTAAACCATGCGAGTTCTGGGCCGTTGGTGATCTCGTCCCAAAAGATGGTATTCGCATGATCAGTGCCACGGGGCGCACGTGTTCCGTTATCCTAGGGAGAAAGATATCGCCGTCTGGTGAAGAGCACAACGATAAAGAGAATGCAGAGGGAGACATTCTCGAGACGGAGTTCTCCATGGTGGACGGGAGAGAACAAGACCCCATCAATGCGTGGGCGAGACAGCGGAAACACCTGTTTGGCAAAGGTTCCGATCCACCTCCCCCCAAAGCCACAAGTGGTAAGAAGGCAACGACTGAGGAGGGACCGTCTATTGGCGGTAACACTGCTACCAATGGTCCCGCGTGGGATGACTCAGACTCGGACGATGAGGACTACGAGATTGCATCGTCGGAAGATATTGATAATAGCAGCTCGTCAGATTCAGAAGCGAGCGACGTCGGGAGCGGTAGCCAACCTGATGATGGTTCGGAGGAGGAAGACAACCGTGGAAGTGATGCCAACGACGGCGAAGAGAGTGGCGAGGAGTCTGAGGAAGAGCTTCAAGAAGCACATCATCCTCTCTTGCGACCGGGCGCTATGCCTAGGATGTCCAAAGCGACCATCAATACAGTCGTAGACATGGTGAATGAGGATTGGATAGAAGGCAGCGAGGAAGAAGACGAGCTCGATGATTCATAGCTAGAGCACGACATCAATATGCTTCATTACCAGTGCGATAAGCGGCGGCATTGTGGCAAATCGTGGTTTCGAGTCTTGGGGCTCGACGGTAAATAAGCAACACATCCCATTCATAAATTCATACGTTGGCCAAAGCGACCAAGTATTACTAAGTAGCGTACAATAATGGATACAATTGGTCCCCACCATACTACACGGTGATGAACCAACTAAGAAATATTACAAGATGACGAGAGGAGAGTCATGAAGAATTGAATGAGACAACAAAATAACACACGGAGCCAAAATGTCGGTTTTCCTAAGGCTGACCGGTCTGACCGGTTGTGTTCTCAATAGGCACTGCAGCAAAGCCAGACCATGAAACGAGCACGCCATCCGGCAACTCTTATAGTGATGTGAGAACTGGCAGTGGCAGTGGGAGGTGGCAGCTGTGATGATGATGGTGTGTTCTGTGTTGCTCCACCGTGTTGCTGGGTGGGATGAGTCTTGGGAGGTCGAGATGAACTAGTAGTAGTTGGCTTTTTCTTTCTCGCATGATAGTTCCTCTGCGCAAAGAGGAGTCAGCGATAAAGAAGAACCGTGAAAGAGAACAAATGCACAGGCTTGCCTGCTGTGTAAGGGACCTCGACCTCTTGCAGCTGGATGTCCGATCCATCTCGTCTGCGCATCATGCCAGAGACTATGTTTCGAGTCCAGCTGAGAGGGTGGGATCGGGGTTGGGTGTCGGACTCAGGTTGCCCCATGTGGCTTGAAGCGGCGCAAGAAGGAGGAGAAGCGACCTGTTGGCGCGTTGACGAGGTGATGGTGGACGGTTACTTGGCCCTATTGGATTGGGATAGACGAGTACGCAACTGCTAACATATTTGCCAAAGGCATTCGATCGCGGATAGAAATCACGTACATTGGCATCTCGCAGTGCATCAGTCAAAAAACCCTGCAGGTATTTGACGAGAACCTTTCATTTTTGGAACTGGTCGTGGTGTAGCATCATCAGCCTGAGGGAGCCGTTGTCAGCATCATTGGGAATGATATGTATTACGCTTACCATATCTGACAGAAGGCCAGCTTTTTTGACGATAGCAGGAAACATCCCATGTGTAATGGCCATCGGTGCAGCTAGTGGCGAGGAACTTTCCATCTGCAGAAAAAGTCGCATTGATCACGTCCTCTTCATGGTAAAGTGGTGTTCCGATAGATTGGTTGGTTTCGAGGTTCCATAGTTGTGCTGTCTTGTTGAGTGACGTGCTTGCGAGGATTCGCTCGTTGGGAGATAGTAAAATGTTGTCGGCGAAGTTTTCGTCCAGGTCAATGACAGCTATTTGTGACCAGGTGGCTGTGTTGAATTTCGTGATCTCGATTCCACCAGCAATGAAGCCTTTTGCCATTCGAGGTCCATGCTAGGCACGTTGCTCCTCCCTCGAGTGTTTTGAGCAATTCAGTTGTGTCGGCATCCCAGATTTTGAGGTCGTCCCCGCCCGTGGCAATAGTCTTGCCATCAGGTGAGTAGCAAACCGCGTGCAAGATATCCCCTGCCTTGATTGGTCCAAGGATAGTCTCTTCGTTCTCAGTGACATCCCACACCATGAATGTTCCATCTTGGCATCCACTCAATACTCGCCCTCCGTCTGGACTCCAGCATATAGACTTCACTCCCAATGATGTATGTCCCGTCCAATTTTTGATGACCTTGCCGGTGTTGATGTTCCACAATTTCACTGCACCATCCAAACTCCCATTTGCCATGGTCTTGCCGTCCGGCGACAATGCTATAGTCTCCACTCCAATATCTTTGTCTTCCCATTCCTTCCCAACCTGCGCGCCCCTTTCCAAGTCCCAGATTCGAAATGACCCATCCCATGAATAGGTGATGATCCGCTGTCCACCGGGTAGGTGTAGGATGTGTTTGGTGCTGGCATCTACTTTGATCTTTCGGTAAGGCTTCGTCGACGAATTCTTGTGCTTCGCAAAGGCTTGGTACTCCATAAGTTTGGGATCCACTTAATGGGTACGTCATAATTTCAGCTTTTACCACCAAATACCATATGAATCTATTACTTACTCAGAATCCAGACGTACTTGACTTGTACACAGAAAGACGAATGCCGAAACAAAAGCTGCAATGGAGTGGGCGTTTCGTTCACTGGAGATTCAAGCCAGGAGGGAGGTCGTTGTGCAAGTCTTATACAGGTGTGTTTTCCTTGCCTGGTGTTCGCTCCACAGCTCCAACAGTTTAAGCGCCCACGGCATCACGGTCCTAGTACGGTCATACTATCCCGCGAACCTGCATACCTGTCTCTCTCTACCCGCTCAATGCTATTCTATCTATATTTTCTCTCAATATTTTCGTCGAGAGTCTCACTGGACCCCTCTTCCCGATTTTGGTTTCCAATGTCCTACATGATCTTTTTTTCTTCGTCTCCCTATTAAATCTGGCCATAACGATTACGATTTTCGTGGATGAGTCTATTCATCTTCGTCAGTATGTTGTCTGCACTCATGTCTTTGATACTCGAAGTCGCATTGCTGGTGCACAAACGTCTTTTGCCTTTCATCTCGAATATGGCAGAGAAAAGGCTGTCAACAACACCGCCAAGCGCGATACGACAACCCACGTCTTGGCACTCACCTCGCAGATGATCAGCGATTGGGTACAATTCTCCACAAGCGGATTCGGTGAGATGAGCACGGCTACTTCATCGCTGCAATGCTCCTTGACACCAACAAGGACGGTGAGATCTGTCCCTGCCATACAAGTCACGCACAAGTTGGCGAATGTCGAGAGCACGAGCAACACATGACGCGGGTCGACGAGGCTTTCATTTATGACTGGTCTGACGCCATCGCAGGCTCAGTAGTTCCGGGCTCTGGTCTGTCATATTTAGCTGGATGCGCTGCCCGCGAACGAGGCTATCGATTGGCTCAATATCGAGCAGACGTATGCACGCCAGCAGTGCTACGCGACGTCTCCCAGTGACCGCACATTGCCCCGCCCCTCGTTTCCTGCGAACATTTGTCACATTTTTGCAAGTCCGTGCAGTTCAGCGACATCAATAAAGAGGGTTTAGCTCACATTCACTGCACCGGCTGCGGCACGCAGCCATGAACTGCTTAATGTCCCTCTCAGCTCAACCCTTGCAGAAGTCGTGTTCTAACACCCCCCTCCTTCGTGCGCAGATAACATATCCCGCATGCGCTCAAGACTGGATTTACTTCATCATAACGAAGTGCCGTGACTGCCCCACTTACTATTCTCTGCAATACCCTTGTCCTTTGTATTGGGGGGTGGGCACGCTGCGCTTGGTGGTTTCGCTTTAGATGTCGACACGTACACAAATCGCACCCTCGCTCTCGAGATCCTTTTCTTTTCAGTGTCACTTGGCGCTGTGATTTTGCAGAGGCTTATGACATGCCAGTGCAACAACACAGCGACGAGTAGACTGCTCGATGTTTCGGTGATAATCGCCTGCCACAAAGTGAGCACTGTGGATAGGCGAGCATTAGTATTTCCACCTTCTCCTGCGTTTTCAGAAACCTCAATGTAGGGAATTCCACATCTGTTTCGTCGGAGCACTCTTGCATGCAGCCACATCTCTGTTCTATTGTTCACGTGCTACGGTGCATTGTCTTGGCTCGGCTTTGCGCTTGTTCCACTACGTTGTAACTATCATTCTTCTACCGGTGCTCAGACCTCCATGCTCCCACCTTCCACACTTTGCCACTGCTTGTATCTTTCTGTCTCATATAAAAGCCGCCATGTTTCATCCTCACTCGCTCATCATCTCTCACCACTGAAAGTTTTGATCTCAAAGTCCTCCTCTTCTCATCACATCTTTCCTATCTACTCGAATCATGGAACAAGTGTGCTCGATGACCAACTGCTCTGTAGTCATCGCGATCCAAGAGGTATGCCCCCCTTGTTTTACAGTCGTCTCAATTCACATGTCTTTGCATTTAGGGTCAAGAAGCAGCGATGTTCAACGGCAAGCCCGTTTGCGAAAAGTGCGACCGTTTCTTGCATGTTAGTAGTTTCTCTTTTGCTCTTTGGATATTATGCTGATTGAGGCCTTCATCTGCAGAAATCCCTCCCGACCAGCACTGGAAAATTAGTGTCTGTGAAGGTTGATACATCACCTTTCCTCTGTCGATATCGTGCTGATTTGTACGGCCCCTGCAGAAGCCATACGAAGAAGCAGAGGTTTACAAGCAAGAAGTCATTCACGACGGACGAGCCCTTCATGATGTAAGTCCTCTTCGACTCTCATCCTCTCTCTCCTCAATACGATTGGGCAGTACCCGGCGCATCTGCCGCCCCCTCAGCGGGGCTACGCGGTCAGGCGCGAACAAGTCCCCGACGGGAAGGGTGGTATGCGGTACAAGTACATCACCCGCTGCGTGGAATCCGAGAAGGAGGAGGAACGCGAGATACCCCACACGCTCATGATGCGTGTCAAAGATTTTGTCCTTTTTACCCGGCGCTGAGAAATAGGAGATGCGATTTTCTGCCGAGTGTGCACTGACTTTGCTGATCTTTAACGCTTAACCTTTATGGACCCTGTTTTCATGTCTACTTGTACACCATCATGTCTAATCAAAGTCAATTAAGTACTATGCGCTATGTAGGAAGCTAGGACTCGGGTCTTGTGTCGATCCCTGTGAATGAGTGCCGCCTTTAGTTGTGCTCTTACTGTGGTTGGGGTAGAGCAGAAGGATTGTACTTCTTGCCCCACCCTACGACGACCTTAAGATGATGCTCACATCTTCGTACGTGGGATATCTGTGGTGCGATGGTGAATGACACGGTGTCAGCCAGCCCCGTTCATACTCCGGGAGTGCGACACAGAGGGTAGTACAGTAATTCCTACAACTTTAAGTACAGCATAGACGAAAGAGAATAACCTGAAGAACTGGACTAGATCAAAGCAACACGACATAGAACTACACACCAATATGTATGAAAACCATCCGCTGCTCGAGCGGCACTTTCGTCTTCACGGCATTTGTAGCACGATTGAGTGCCCAGGCCGCCTTCGTACAGTCCATCATATCACTATCCTCCAAACCCTTGACTATCTTCTTGTAGAAAGCTTCGACAACGTGTTTCGCGACAGCATCGTTGACCACCCACAGCGTGCCAATGACGCTCTTGAACCCGGAAAACTGGAGTCCAGCTGCGAGGTGGATGACTTCGTCCGGTGTCTCCTCATCTCCAACAGCGGTATGACACGCCGACAAGAATGCGAACTCAGCGTGAGGAATGTCTTTTCTCCATGATATCGAGCAACGTGAGAGGTTTGTCTTTCATGGCGAAACATGAATAGTAAGGCTGCTCGCGATCCTGCTTCCCATGACAAGCGAGGTGCACCCAAGTGTTGTGTTGCAAAGCATCTAGTGCACCTGCTCGAGTGGCATCGTCGCCGGAGAGAGTGGTGGAGTTGGCCGTCGCGGGGACGAGTTTGCGGACGAGCTCAAGCTCGCTGTCAACAGTCAACAGCGCCTCGCCTTGCCCCGCACCCGGTGAACTTTGTCCGATTGCGACGAATGACGGAAGTAACGCGTTTCTTCATCGTCTGTCTAGATCTGATCAGAGCTGAAAGTGTCGGCGTGTAAGAACAGATGTAGACGTCCTCCAGGCATAGTTCACGTCGTCCGTCTGTCTTCGTTCGAAAGGGGTGAGCTGCGTGAAGAGGAATGGAAGTGAAGGTTGCAGTTGGACACAGCCAGATTCGAGAGCCGCTCGTTACTCTGAGATCGCGCTGGAGGACGATGACGATGGGGAGCATGATCTCGTCCCATATTGTCCGCAAGAGAACTTGCAATTCCTTCCTCGTCTCCTCTGGTCGCATAAAAGATGCAAGTCGTATCTCCCTCGCAAAGTCACTCTTGAGCTTCTCCAGATGTGTGAGATTGACGCGCGGGAATTGAACGTGGTGTGGCTTTCCTGACGTCGGGACAACGATGGCACTGCACGAGTATTGACTTGCGACGAGGATGATGACTGGGCCATGACGTGCTGCCGCTTGCAAGTCTTCATATGAAAGCGGGAGCAAGAACCGCGAGAAGCCTTTGAGATTACGGATCTCAGCTACCACTGCTCCCCACTGCTCCTGAAGTCTCCTGTAATATATCGCTGCTCGATCAGCAGCAGCTCGGTCAGTGCTGCCGGCGGAACCCTGAGCATCAGACAAGCGCTCGTTGATCTCTGAGAGCCTGTGAGCTAGTTCCGGACTTGCAAGCTTCAGGTCTTCCAGCGGAGGTCTGAGTCGAGAGGCCAGCGACCATTGCTGGCCACGACCCTGCTCCACGAGTTCGATTGCTCGTCGCAGATCATCACGACGGATGGCACACGAGGCTGCATCAACCGGCAGTGATTGTGCATTGCGAAAAGCAGTTGCAGCCTCGCGTCGTGAGATAATCGTTGATCGCGTCATCACGTGGTTGTCGAAAAGCTCCAGGCACGTTTGGTATGCCTCGAGGGTAGAGTCGTGTTGATAGACTTCTGCATTGCGAGTCCAGTCTATAGCCTCTTTGATGCGCCCCGGAAATCCTTGCGTAGGATGTCGTGATGCCAGTCTGAAGTTCTCCACAGCGAGCGACAAGTCAGCAGAGTTGTGTTTGCACTCGGTAACGAGACAAATAGGCTTGCTGCAGCCACCCATAGCTGAAATATCTACCCGGGTGCAGTGAAGGTAAAGCCTCCAACGACTCTTGGCAGAGTCGAATGGCCTCCTCGATATCTTCATTCTTCCGAGTTTGCGTGAAACGAGAACGGAGCGCCGAGCTCAAATTGTGAAGAGCTGTATGGCGACGAGGATGGCCATGCGGCCTTAACTGAAGTGAATCCCGGTTAGAGGTTGATGGCCTCGTCGAGATCCTCGCTGACATCCAATTTCTCATATCTGGCTTGGAGCGCAACAGCAAGGATGTTAAGCGTGTTGACACGATATGGATTCCCAGGCGGGCGCAACGTCAGAGCCTCGCGTTGGAGGGTGATGGATCTGATGATGTCATTAACATCACCACGTTGGTTGAAACGGGTCCAGAGGGCAGCTCCTAGGTTGTCCAATGAGGTATTACGATATTTGTGCCCAACAGGGCACAGGCGCAGCGCTTCTTCATACAAAGAGATGGCCTCATTGAGGTCATCTGAGTTGCCTTGGTGATCAAAGCGGGACCGGAGTGCGTAGGCCAAGTTATTCAGGTAGGTGTCGCGTTCAGAATGTCCCTCGGGGCACAGAGAAACGGCTTCACGCTTATGTTGTATGCTCTCTGCTAGATCTTCAATGGTGCCGCGCTGGTCAAAGCGTGCTTCAACTGCCTGTGCAAGGTTGTCGAGTGCTTTCGGACGGTGTGCGCTGCCCAGAGGACAAAGCTCGAGTACGACTCGTCGAAGGTGGATCCCTTCATCGGATGCATCTATTGGAAGATTGTTGCATGAGCGGATCACATAATCGACGCCATTTGCCCCTGCCGCGATGCTACCAAGGTAGGTGCCCTCTGGACAGAGGGGCAATAGCTTGCAGGACAGTTGCGCGCATTCCTGGATATAGACGACGGCGAAGTTCTCTTTGCTGTAGCGCCAGATCAACGCTTTAAGGAGGTTATAGATGGATAAGGGATGATCGGGGTGGCCCTGCGGACGCAATGCAAGGGCTTCGCGGAAGAGAGAAGTGATAGAGTCGATGTCTTGAAAATCGTTTTGAATGTAGCCTTCAAGGCGGGCCCACGCGAGGTTTGTGAGAGCCGCTGCTCGGTGAGGATGGCCGACCGGACATTGGTCCAGGACCAACTGAAAATGCTTTGCAGCATCGTTCAGGTGAGAGACCGTCTCGCTTGTCACGTATGTGGCAAATCGTTCATGGCCCGCATCCGTGTCTTGAGCAATCTGACATTCAACGATGGACTACAGCAGGTGTTCCGTCTACAAAAGCGAACAACACAGAGGCTGATGTTACTCACGTCAGGCAGTGCGCTGTCCTGATAGTCACAGTCATGTAGAACCGTGGCCTTTAGTGTGAGGGAAGAGTGAACAGACGGAAAGGAGATGTCTACAAGATGTGAGTGTACGCGCATGAGTGGGAAGGAGGTTACTCACCGAAAGGCTCATTTCCATGATCTAGCAGCTCATCCCATGATTTGTCAAGTTTTCCGACAACTTCTCCATTGCCTAGCATGCAATCGAGCTCGAAGGAAGCCCTGATCTCCACTGATAACGTAGGTGACCGCATCTGATGATCTACAAACACAAGATCAGTCCTCGAGTTGCGTCGGAAAGTCTGGATGAACATGTACAAGGTCACACTATCGCGCCACGTTATAGATTCGTCGGATGATAGGACACCGATTGTTGATTTCCAGCGTCTGCTCGAGTCGAGATTGACGGACACATGGATGCCTGCGGGGATGCGCAAGGAGGGAACTTTGATATTTTTTCCACTGATAACTGTAGATAGAATGTGAGGATAACAGATACGAATGTGGTATGAAGCAACTCACTCTCAAGTCTGATATATCGGCCTTCTAAGCTACCGGGCATGATAGTGCGATGAAGCAGAACGACCAGGATTGAGGATGGGCTGGATGGTAGACAGAAAGGGTAGTAGAAGAAGACGGGAATGGGGGATTTGGGAACTGTGGATGAAGTTTGGGGTGAGGGGAGAGGAAGGGGTGGAGGGTTGAGGTAATGTTACACGTGTATTTTCCATGTTGTTGAGGTAGTCTAGGGCGCTTGTGTGGTTGCAGTAAGCGCTGAGGCGGCTAAACTAGGATTAGCGGGAGAGCAATGTCAAGGTCAGCCAACAGTGAAAGCGACAGCTAGTGTGAGTTGGGGGACGTGTTGTGACTCTCAAAGTGTACCGTGATGCAGATCGAACATGTTACTCTCATCATAGGTTGTTCGAAACGTGGTACTCATTCTAGCAGCACAAGACTAAGGCAAAATGTGGGATCCAATGTATTGCATAGTGCACTGCATAGAAAAGCTGAACGATTGCTATATGTACGTGATTGGCATGGGGGTAGAATTATCGAGGGTGTTATGGCAGGTGGTAACGGACACATATACACAAGGCGAGAAGTACTAGAGAATTCGAAGTACTCGAGGTCGGATTTTGAGATGACGTTCGAAAGGTGAACGCGTCAGAGAGAAACACTCGAGGTTTGACTTTGAGATGATGTCGGAAAGTTGCCCCGATGGAATTTCAAAAAAGGCTCCAACACAAGTACAAATAGGGTAATTCCACTCTTTCCGCGTACGTCATTTTGTCATACACATCGATGCATCTCACCACATCCAACAAATACCTTTTCTTTCGTTGAGGGCAAGAGTACTTACCAGTAGAGTGCAAGCTCGAACCCCGCTTCCAGTTTGTGCAATGACAAGACGGGTACGTCCAGTCGGAGTTTGAATTGGTGTTGCTCTTGTCCTCACATTTGATTGTGAAAAATCTACCCGCGTACCTCACGCCAGATCGCCTCAAAAGCACTTCGAACAACAAGGTGCTCCCTCTGCAACCATCACAGATCTGAATTTTTCACTCAAGCAGGACGGCACATCGCGTCGATTCGGTTTCGTCGTTTGACTGCACGTTCATCGACTCGATGCGAATTAATGTCATGGTTGTCGCAGTAAGTTTTTGCTTCCCAAGTGTCGGTGTTTCGTTTTACAAATATATCTGCAAGGCGTGAAGGATGCTCTAGCTCCTCGACCAAATAAGAGAAGACGCCTGGAAGACATTGCTGCAGACCCAGGACCGTCATCGCGACCACATGTTCACAAGGCGGACAAGAATGGTAAGACAAGCGCTCCAGCCTCTTCGCTAGATCAGTTCATGGATGCTATGCAAACCTGCACGACAAAGGGTCCATCGTGGGCAAATGAAGCTAAGGAATCACATTTAGTACTACCGACCGGCCCTCCGGAGACAATGACCACATCCGATGGACCAGATAGTAATGAGGCTGTCATGGACTTCGAATGGATGCGACAACGTATGAACCTGGTGTCAGATTCATTACCCGATAAAGTCTTTGAGCAATCAGATGACGAGCACCAGGTTGGCGCCATTCCTGAGGAACACCAGGACTCGACAACAAAGACGATTATGCACACGTCTCGATTATTTCTTCGAAACCTTGCCTTCTCATGTACGGAAGCCGAGGTCATGGAGCTATTTCAGCCGCTCGGGGAAATTGCACAGGTGAGTATCCCGCAGCCTTGTCGTGTATTCTCCATTTCTTTTGCTTTTTCTTGATGATAAACATTTAGGGACATCTGATCCTCCAAGGATTTGCTGATCCCCGGGAACCAATAGTAGAAAATTTATCTGATTTTTATTCCCATTTTAATTGTGTCGCTGATCACCTCGACTCATCCCTATCCTGACAGGTCCATATACCATTGACCGCTTGTCTAAGCAGTCGAAGGGTCTAGCCTACGTGTCTTTACAGCCGCATCTGCCCTCTCGGCGTATGAGCACTGCAAGACGTCTTCCAAGTCGTCTTCTCCACATCATTCCTGCTGTTGACCGTAAAGGCAAGTTTGAAGTAGTAAGCGAGGGAAAAGCGAATGTTAAAAGATAGAGGAGTTCTCGGCGTAAAGCCACAGCTGGCGGAGTTCAATTGGAGTATGTTGTACCCGAATGTTCGTCAAGCCTTTGTCATGTTACGCACTATATATTGAGATCTCATGCAATGCATGTGCAGAGCGATGGTGGCATCGTCTATCTGATTGAATGGGAATTGCCAAGGCAGATATTCTGAATCCTGAGTCAGACAATGCGGTGGTCAGCTTGCGCTTGCAGAGACACGTTATCCAAGAGACGAAGTCATACCTTGAGTCCCAGGGGTCATCTTGTCGACATTTTCTTCCCGCGCGGTCTGATACTACATACTAGTGAATAACATCCCCTATGGCACCACTGCGGATGAGATGTCGAGTTACACGGGGAACTCAGCCGCGTCATCGTACCACCGGCAGGTACCATGATGGGTGGAATTCGAACAGGCAGATGAAGCTGCCAAGGCTTTTCGAGCTGTAGCTTACCGACGTCTCGGAAGTAGTGTCGTCTACTTGGAGAAGGGTCATGGGCATGTTCCAGGAGACTGCGGATGCAGCAGGGAACTCTGACCGTACGCTGATAACTGCATTCAAGTCGATCACTATCGCCAAGCAGGAAGCTGGCAGCGGTGCTGATGCGGACGAGCTTTCTTTGTCTGCTGGGACGACTTTATTCGTCAAGAATCTGGCTTTCAGTGCCACTGCAGAGCGTCTGGTGCGAGTCTTCCGGGGTTTTTCTGGTTTCTCGTTCGCGAGAGTACGGACTGAGCCTGATCCCAAACGACCTACTGTTCC